CCTGCAGCGCCGGGTCCCCCACAGGCCCTGGCCAGCACAGAGAAGCCCCCTGGGAGGGAAAAAGCCCCCCAGAGCCAGGGGCTGCCCTGCCCGGGCTGCGGGCAGGAGCTGGTGCTGGGCAGGGGCTGCTGTTTGGGGACGTGGTGGGGACTCGGCACCCAGGCAGGGACTGGCCCCCTCACCTGAGCGATGGGAAGCAGCTGCTTATCAGGAACCCGCAGAGAGGGGAGCTAATTTGAGAACCACAAAAGCCTGGGGGAACTTGCACCCCTTTCCCACAGCATGTGGGCTGGCCCCTCCACCGCAGCCTGGGAACCAGCTGAGCTCGTATGCTGCAGCCCCTGTGTCCAGCACCATCCTGCAGCCAGAGCACGATGCCCAACAGGGCAGCCCTGGGGCAGGGACTGCCGGGCCAGACCCGGGGCCCGCTCACGCCATAGCCAAGCCCCAGGCAGAGCCTGCCCCAGCCCCTCTGAGTCCCCCGCAGGGTCCTGGCCCCCCAGGAGGGTCTGTCGTGGCTGCACTTGCTCACAGAGGCAGCTCGTCTCTGCAGAGCCCCTTGGCCTCACTGCACCCATGGCCACGGCGGCTTCCTGTGGTCTGTAGCGAGCTCCCCACGGTGTGCAGGCGACTGCAGGTGCTTCTCAGCCGGCTCTTCCTTTTTTCACGAGGCCAGGCCTGGGACAGGTCCTTGCCGCCCCTCAGCTGAGGGCTGTGCGGGCCCGAGCTGGTAGCTTGCGGGCCGGGGGCAGCTGGGTGCTGCATGCAGGCTGCAGCCATAGGGTGCTGCAGCGTCAGCTCCCACCAGGGAGCAGGCAGAGGCTGCAGCCCCACTGGGCTCTGCAGGCTGCGGGAAGGCGGACAGAGGATGTGAAACTGGGAGAGCTGTGGTGTGGCCCACAGCAACCTTCCTGCTGCAGGCAGCAGTCAGGGCTTCCAGGGAAGGAGAGCTTCTGCACTCGCCGGTGCATCCAGAGCCTCGCAGCACAGTCCTGACCGGCCTGGCACAGCAGAGGGGGTGGCCCCGCAGCCCCCAGGCTCGGATGCCTCCCACCAGAGGTGCCCGGTGTCCCTGGTGCAGCCCAGTGCAGGCAGGGAGGGGGCCTGTGCTGCTCGGGAGGTGCCAGGGGATGCTGGAGGGATGCTGGGGGTGGGGAGAAGCAGCCCCTCAGCCCGGCTTGCAAAACACTTGCTAAGCTTGTGACAACGCTGCGAGTGCCTCTGGAGCCAGTGGGGCATGTGGACGCTGCCAGTGGGACCCGCAGCTCAGGTAGAAAATAAAACTATTCCTGGGCAGGCTCTGGGGCCAGGGCAGAGGGGGCTGGAGGCAAGCTGCTATCTGCTGCAGGTCGGGGCAGCTGCAGCACTGGTGCTAACGGAGCTGCTCTCACCCTCAAACGTGCCATGAAAATTACTGTTTCCAGGGAGCCTGACACTGGTGGTACCAGGGAGTGTCAGCAGCACCGAGTGCTCTGGGTGGCCGAATGGGGCACAGGCAAAGCGGAGCTCCCGCTGGCAGGCAGGACTCTGTGGGGATGGGTAGGCAAGGACCCCCAGCAGGCAGGACCTTGTGGGGACCAGGGCCAGTTACAGGGTGACCAGCTGGTGGGTGACAGGGGACCGTGGCAGCTCTTGAACTGCTCAACTGGGCAGGCAGCAAATAGGGCATTAACTGGGCTCCTCTTGCCCAGAGGGGCCGTGGTGACTCTGGATGGGGATTTCTGTCGCTCAGCACAGAAGCCTCCCGCGCTTGCTGGAGTGCTGCCTGGGGTTTGTGCCCAGGGCACCGTGGCAGCCCCTGGCCATGCCGTGCTGTGTCATGCTGTGCCGTGCCATGCCGTGCCATGCTGTGCCATGCTGTGCCATGCTATGCCATTGTGCTGCTCCTTGGCGTGACCACCCGGGCATCGCTCAGCCATGGGAAGGCGAGTCAGCAAAACTCCCGTCTGACACGCTTTTCCCCCAACTTCCTCTAAAAGTGGAATCAGCTTGGCTGTGTCTTGCAGGTGACTGTGACGCCCCTCTGGGGACGGGGCCTCCCTGCCAGGCACAGGAGGGGGGGCTCAGCACAAACCACCCAGGAGGTGGCCAGGCCGAGCTGAGCGGAGCCAAGCTGGGCTGCGCCAGTGGTGGGGACACGTGTGGCGGTGCTGGCCGGAGGTGGTGGCGGCTGCCCCTGTGATGTGGCTGCCAGGACTGAGCGGTCCCACTGTGGCATCTGTGAAGCGCTTTGAGGGGGGGAGCACCTGGGGCTGCCACAGGGAGCGGGGTCCTGGCCGTATGGGTGCAGGCTGGCACCGAGGGCTGGGGCATGGCTCCATGGGTGCCCATGCGGTGGCAGCTCTGTCCTGTGGTCTTTCACGGTCACAAGGGCCAGGCTCGGGGGTGGTGATGGGAGGGCCCCCCTTCAGTGGGGCTGCACAGAGCTCTGGGGACACCCATGGCTACCCCCCCAGTCCCTGCAGCCTCTCAGGGAAGCAGGGGCACAGGGAGGCTGTCTGTTCTCCCCCCAGGGGGACAGGCAGGACCGGGCACAGCTGAAGGGGCTTTGCTGGGTGAAAGGCTGGGTGAAACCCTTTGCGGGGCCAGGGCTGAGTTCAGGCTCCACAGGGGCAGTGGACCACAGCTGGGGCGAGGAAGAGCCCTGGGCTCCTGCAAGGTCGGATCCCGCTGGTGCCAGGCCCTGGTGCAAGGCAGCTGGGAGAGGGGCGGTGGGGCTGGGGGCTGCCCAGCTATGGCGGAGCTGTGTACCAGCGTTGGCCCCGGGCGCAGGGACTGGCAGGGAGGGGAGGAAGCACAGGAAATCTCGCAATGGCTGTATGGTCAGCACTGGGTTTCCTGTTCCTCCCCAGGAGCAGGAGCTGCACCAGGTCCAGACTGCGCCGGCCCCGGCCCTGGGAGGACGCCAGCGCCAGCCCCACGGCAGGGACCTCGCAGCACACGCAGGTTGGAGGGGCCTTGCCCCAGCGGGGCGCTGGCAGGGACAGGGGACCCCTTTGTGAGGCTGGGGGGGTGTCTCAGCCCTGGCCTTCTGCAGGGTCGAGGTCCGTGCTGGGGGACGTCCTGTCCTGCACGGAGATGTGCCCCAGCACCCTCCTGCTCCTGCTGCACCCTTGCCACGGGGCAGGGCAGGCTGGGACCACAGCTGGGACCAGTTCGGCTCCCAACGGCCATGCTGGAGCCC